CTCTAACACAAGTCGTGCTTTGTTGTTTGCTGTGCTGTTTGTAGGATGCCGAAGCACGACTGCGAGATTGTCAAGAAACATTATGATGACTTGGGGCCCAATGGCCCAGTGCACAAAGGAAACAGGAACAGGAAATGCAAATATTGCGAGAGGATGGTCGTTGGGACTGCGAGCAGGGCCAAGAAGCATTTCCTCGAGAACAGGTGCGATCCTGGGCAGTTGAGGGCGACCTTAAGCAAAGAGGAGTTGCAGGAGAGGGAGAGGGGGAGGAATGCCGCAATTACAGAGCTCGGGGGGGCTGGTGCACCGGTTGATGTGTCAGCCGGAGAGGATGAGTGGGAGGCAACTGAGGGGGAGGCACCGAAGGCAGCAACAAGGAGTACTGTGGGGGCATCTTGTTCAAAGACAGAGATGAGGCAGTCCTTGATCACGGACAGCACCGCGATCGTGACGAAGAACAAGGAGACATAGAGATCGATCGATGATTGGATGACTGCACACTGTATCCCCTTCAATATGATGAAGAGCGAGGAATGGGATAACATGGTGAAGGTGTTGATGAACGCCCACGAGTCCTTCAGGTACGCGAAGTACGAGAAGGCAAGGACCACTCGTGTGGAGGCCACGAAGGGGAGGGTTACAGCAAGGGTGGAGGAACTGCGGCGGCAGTGGCCTTCCACCGTTTGTATGTTGCAATTGGACGGTTGGACAGATCGCCGCTCGAGGCCACACATCAACGTTATGGTCTCGTTCCCAAAAGGCGCGATCTTTTGGAGGAGTGTGTGCATGAGTAATCGAGAGAACGGGGTGACATCCTACTACGAGATACTGAAGAGGGCGATCAAGGAGGTTGGGCCGGATGCGGTCGTGGGCATCGTGATGGACAATGCCGCAGTGTGCGCAGCTGCAGGACGCATGATCGAGGCCGAGTTCCCGCATATCTTCTCGATTGGTTGCACTGCGTACAACATCGACTTGATGCTGGAGGCTTTCACGAAGATCGGATGGGTTGATGCTGCAATCAAGCGTGCGGTGGAAGTTGCGAAGTACTTCACGAATCATACACGGGTCAAGGATCTGTTGCTATCAAAGTCTAACGGGTAGATCGTGGCAAAACCAGGGGCAACACGGTTTGCCACAAATTTCATCATGTTGGGCAGCCTTCAGCGACTGTACCTTCCTCTTCGTTCTTGTTTGGTTGATGCAGCATGGAAGGAGAGCATTGTGCTGCCCGCACAACGGCATCTATTCCATGTTGCAACCGAATTCATCCTCGACAACTCGTTTTGATACGGTGTGGAGAAGGTAATGGAGACCTCGAAGGGCTTGCTCGGTCTCCTGAAGTTTGTGGATGGCGACGGCCCCACAATCAGCAAGATCTATGGCCGCATGGACAACTTGGTGGAGAAACTCAGAGAGAACGAGGTCTTCACAGAAATGGAGAAGGACGAGTTGGAGGCGATCATAATGCGGCGCTGGAATGCCATGACATCACCACTGCATTGTGCAGCAATGTTTTTGGACCCTGAGTTGAAAGCCAGCAAGCCGGAGCAAGATCTGGAGGTTGCAGACGGGTTCTGGACGTGGGTATACTCTTGGTGCAAGCGGCCGATGTACAAGACGGTGGACGAGGAGGTCAACAATTGGATCGACGGTGTCGGGAAGTTCAGGTCCGAGAAGGCAATTGAGGAAGCACGTGGGACGCAGCCTGCACGATGGTGGAGAAAGTGGTGCAGCGAGCTGCCCCATCTCCAAAGGCAAGCAATCCGTTTGCTTAGCCAGGGGTCCTCCTCCTCCAGCTGTGAAAGAAACTGGAGCCTCTTCGAGCGCATCCATTCCCGCCCACGAAACGAGCTTGAATCAGTCAAGCTCAGCACCTTGGTCTATAACAGATGGAATCAGCATCTGTTGAAGCAGTTGACCAAGAAGCCGAAGGCCGGCGAGGATGACCTTTTGTGGGAGGAGAATTTGGACCTCGAAAAGAAGGAGGTCGCTGCGGATGCTGCAATGCGCGTGGACGAATGGCGCTCGCGTGTTCGCGAGCTGAATGAGGGGTGGGAGGACAGTGACGATGATGATGCTGAGGAGGATGACGACGATGAGGATGCTGTCGAAGAGGAGGAGGAGAGAGAGAGAGGTACGGGGCAAATGGTACGCACACGGATTGAGAGCGATCTCTTGGAGCTTGAGACACAGCTCAACGAGTCGTGGCAGAAATCGACAAAGGCGTCGAAGTACTTGGCTCGGCTGCATTTGGGGGAGTTGCAGCAGGCCATGAAGACCATGGGCGATCCGCATGCCGATAAATATATGGCTTCCCGTCCGAAGGCATCTGCGTTGTCACCACAAACCGTCAAACGTGGACCGGGAAGACCTCAGAAGGTCGTGGAGGAAGCTGCTGCAATGGAGGAGAGTGGTGGGGGGAAGGAGACTGCTGAGGAGGGGGGGGCAACAGCAAAACGACCACCAGGCAAACCACGAAAGGCCGTGGAGGAGACCAGTGCAACGGAGGAAAGTGGCAGGGCGGACGACAATGCAGCGGAAGAGGAAGACTGCGATTCTGATGAACAGCCTCTTCATTGCGGAAAGTGACGCAGGCATTCAAACCATTAAGGGGTAGTGGGGGCTGGAGCTGGTGTGCAGCAGTGTTTTTAACAGGACCGGTAGATCTGTTGATTCTGTTGTTGAACTTGTCGGTAACGCGAATTTTGAGAACAGTTGAAGATGTTAAATGTTTGTTAATCATTTATGAAATTCATTTTTGAAATTGTGTAGTCCCGTGTGTGTGTGTTTGTGTGTGCATGCGAGTCCGAAATTCGTTTCTGAAATTGTGCAGTCCCGTGTGTGTGTCTCTGTGTGCATGCGAGTCCGCCGAAGTCCACTCAAATGTCAAATACTCAGCAGCAAACTCTTCAGCAACCATAGATGGAAACCAATCAACATGTTTCCATGTGGCAGTGTTGAAAAGTTGAACCAAGTCACCTGGATGACAACAACGTATCTTCTTCACCCGAGCACAACTCTCTATGATAGTATGATCATGAATGTGCACAAGCCGGCCACCAGGCTACAATACAGTCACAATAATTGGGCGCTGTGTTCAGGGGAAGAACCTAGAACTTGCGAGTTGCAAGCCCACCGGGAAGAACATTTTTTTTTTTTTTTAATCCGGACATCCAGACCGGGACCTCTGCAACCGGACAGTTCGGGTCCGGTGTCCGGTTGTCCGGATGAATGTCTAGATTACCGGACGTCCGGTTGCAACCAGACACAGGTCCGGACCCGGTGTCCGGTGTCTGGATGTCCGGGTCCGGGGCAACCATGGTTTTAATGCTTGGCAGCCACTCCCAGCGTGCCAATGGCAGGCCGTCAAACACTACTTCATCTCGAGGTCGTGTCTGGCATTGTCCACTGCGCTGACTGAAGTCGCAGACACGCTCACTACAACTGCAGAGCTCTTCGACAAGGCCGCTCAGATCATCGTCACGAGCACAGAGGCCAAGAACTTATCGCCTGCGGAAGGCTCGAGCAGAGAACAGCATCGGCCGAAAGTGGCCATGGTCGCGGAGCAACGCCGTTTGACGCTTCAAGCGAGGCTGCATCTGCCAACGAGGGAGGACAGACTCGCAGCCGCCCGAGATGTAGGCCGCCCCGGCAAAGACCAAGGACGTGGCAAATCGAAGACAAACACCACATCAAACCCCGGGCCCGACGCAACAGCTCAAGCCCCATGGAACCACTATGGACTCTCAGAACACGTATACAAGCTAAGCACGAGATCCCGCTATTGTTTGTGGTGCAATAGGGATCTCCACGAAACAATGGGCTGTACTTTGAAAGGCAAGGGCAAACTGGGAAACTGAGCACTGCCGGGAGTGAGTCGACGACACTCTCAACGCCCTCGGAACCGGTTGCTACGTGTGCGACCGCCCTTCGTTCCGAGGCACATGCGGAAGTCGATAGCCCTCCCATCTTATATTCTTATGAGGACAATGTTGCCCAGCTCATTCCTACGCTGGGTACTCGTGCTCAAGGACGAGATATGTTTGCGGCATCTACTCCGTCCGGCAGCGGCGACTTATCGTCTTCAAGTGGTTCTTCACGGGATTCGGCGCGTGAGTTCAACATAGAGGTATTGGACCCGCTCACGTCCGAGGATTTCGCATGGCTTTCGCATGGCTTTCGCATGGCTTTCGCATGGCTTCCTCTCCCGACCACGGGCCGCTTGCCGGAACCGCAATGCGCAACACAATGCACTAATCTTCACACATACTTATGCTTCTATGCATCACCAACTTCGTCGACGGATGACGAAGTTGCAGTGGGGGACATCCTTGCGTATGTTACCAAGGTGGCCAGCGAGTTTCACAAGCAGCGGTACGATGACAACAACGCACCGCTCCTCTATGTTTGCATCCAAGTTGGGCAAGCGTCCTGCAGCGCTCTGCTGGATAGCGGAGCAACTCGCAATTTCATGAGGCAAGCCTTTATGCAAAGAGCTGGCCTTGGTGCACAAGTTCAGAGGAAGGCAAACCCGACGACGATCAAGCTTGCGGACGGAAGGTCGCAACAACTTATCGACCTCTATGTCGAGGTCGTCCCGGTGTATTTCGCACCTCATGCATGCGAACCGGTGACGTTCGACATTTTGGACACGGACTTCGATATGATTTTGGGCATGCCTTGGCTTGCAAGTGCGGATCACACAATCAACTTCCACCAGCGGACTCTTACCGTCCGGGACGCCTTCGACGCCGAAAAGCCGTGTACTATTCCTCTTCCACACCCTTCGATCCGGTGCCAAGTGGTGACGGCCAAGTCATTCCAGGCTACTCATGCTTACTAGCGGCCCGACGAGATAGGCTTATGTTTCTTATGAACCGTCGCGGTAGCCAACTCTTCACCCACGAACTTCTCTTCGAACCCCCGTGTGGTGCGGTTGCTTGACGAGTTTGTCGACATACATCTACCGGTGTAGTGCCGGACCGGCCAATCTCTCACGAGATTATTCTTTAGGCTAGTGCCGTGTCCCCGAAAGGTTGCATTTATCGCATGAGCGAGGAGGAGCTTACAATCACAACTCTATGACTTGTTGAACAAGGGGTGGATCCACCCTAGCAGCTCCCCATATGGAGCACCAGTTCTCTTCATACGGAAGAAGAACAAGGACCTACGATTGTGCATCGATTACCGCAAGCTCAACGCGCAAAACGTCAAGAATGCGGGGCCTCTTCCTCGTATTGATGATCTTCTTGAGCAATTAGGCGGAGCGAAGAACTTTTCCAAGTTGGATTTGAAGCCGGGGTATCATTAGATTTCAATCCGCCCGAACGATCGCTATAAATCCGCGTTCAAGACGCAATATGGGCATTTTGAGTGGGTGGTCATGCCTTTTGGCCTCACCAATGCCCCGACGACCCTTCATGCGACAATGACCAAAGAGTTTCCTGCAATGTTGGACCAGTTTGTGCTGGTCTACTTCGACGATATCTTCGTCTATAAACGAACATTGGAGGATCATATTGAGCACCTTCGACGAGTGTTGGAGACGCTCCGTCGCGCCAAGTACAAAGCCAACCACGACAAGTGCAAATTTGTCCGACAAGAGTTGGAATACTTGGGCCATTTCGTCACACTGGAGGGCATCAATCCATTGTCGGACAAGATTCAAGCCATCCAAGAGTGGACGGAGCCGCGGAACGTCACAATTGTTCGTTCGTTTCTTGGCCTTGCCGGCTACTACCAACATTTTATCAAGGGATACTCGAAGATCGCGGCCCACTTAACCAAGCTTCAATGTGAGGATCGGTCATTCAACTTCGGTGAGGATGCGCGGGGTTCATTTTTGGCCCTCAAAACCGTATTATTATCCGTGGAGGTCTTGCGCATCTACGACCCGCTATTGCCAACACGCATCACTACAGATGCGTCTGGCTTGGCATTGGGGTCGTCCTCCAGCAACACGATGGCGTGGACTGGCACTCGGTCGAGTATTTCAGCAAGACAGTACCCTTCGTGCACTCAATCGACGATGCACGAAAGGAGCTCCTAGCCTTCATCCACGCGCTCAAGAGGTGGCGGCACTTTCTCCTTGGTCGAAGTCAATTCTGATGGGTAACGAACAACAATCCGTTGGTCTTTTACAAGACCCAAGATACGATCAACAGCACCATCGCCCGTTGGATGGCTTTCATCGACCAGTTCAACTTCTTTCCCGATCACATTTCGGGGAAGTCAATCCTTTTTGCGAATGCTCTTTCACGGTGTCCGGATCATTGTACCGCAGTCTATTCGACCTTCGAGATCGATGACGACGTGTGGGACGGCTACCAAGCCGACCCTGAGTTTCGCGACAAGTACTCGAACTGCTCCTCTCCTAATCTGGCGCTATCTCACTACCAGATCCAAGAGGGATGCTTGCTTGTCCACACGAGGTGGAAGGATCTTCTTTGCGTTCCGAGTGACTCACACTTGCGTACGCGGCTTCTTGGCGAGTTCCACGACGCTCCCGCCACCGGACACTTTGGAGTCAACCGAACGATTGGTCGACTTCATGAGCGCTTTTGGTGGCCCGACCTTCTCAGCAATGTCACACGCTATTGCGAGTCATGCGAGGTTTGCCGACGCTGCAAATTCTGCAATCATCGTCCATACGGTGAGTTGCGACCATTACCGGTCCCCTTGCGCCGAAGGGAAGCGATTGCCATGGATATCACCAGGCCGTTCCCCAAGCACAAGACCGGTGTGGATGGGATCCGCACGGTGGTCGACCGACTCACCAAGTTTGCCATGTTTTTGCCTTGCCGCTATCATGCCAAGGCACCGGAGTTGGTCGAGGTTCTTTATGCCGGTTAGATTCGAACCAAGGGCTACCCCAAGGAAATCGTCTGCGACCGCGACGCTCGGTTCATGTCCAATTTTTGGTTGGCGTCATCAGACGATGGGGCTCATCTCTCAAGCCGAGTTTGGCTCGCCACCCCCAAACCGATGGCCAAACGGGGAGGGCGTATCAGACTGCAAAGGTTCTCCTTGGCACTCTCATCCGTCCCAACCAAAAGGATTGGGTTGAGCGGCTTCCGGATGTCGAGTTGGCATACAACTCGTCCATCCATCCGGATATCAGGATGTCGCCCTTTGAGTTCGAGCACGGCTCACCGGACACCTCTCTGTTGGACACAATCATCCCACAGGCGGTCGAGAGCGACGACCATCTTCTTTTCTTGTGTCGGATGCAAGAGCTACTTGTCAAGGCACGTGACCAGATGGAAAAGACGCAACAATGCATGAGCCAACAGGCCAATCGCCAGTGTCTTCCTTGTCCATTCCGCGCTGGCAACCTCGTGTGGATTTCCGCTGTGGAATTCCGCCTCGAACAAGATCTCTCTCGCAAGCTCCTCCTGAAATAGATGGGGCCCTGGCCGATCGTGGCACCCGCTAGGGATGCACCCGAAGGACCTTCCTTTGTCATTCAGGTGCCCGCCCACTTGCCTTTCTACCCTGTCTTTCACTGCTCCAAGTTGGCTCTTTACACGCCAGTGGAACATGACGACTTTCCCGAGTGACGATTGCAAGACCCACCCTCTGTGGACGGTTTTCAAGAGGTTGGCGACATCATATCCGAACAACGATACGACAACAGGCCTACCGAATACTTGGTACATTTTGCATACTGCACCCATAAAGTTTACCGTTGGTTGACCCGTGCGGAACTGCAAGTAACAGCTTCGGATGCTCTCGCACGCTACCAACACAAGTTGCAAGGCAAGCAGGTATCTTTGGCTCCACGTCGCACCCACGTCCAAGGTTCCACCTTCAAATCGCCAGCTTCGCCCTCGACCCGGCTTGATTGCATAACGAGGGGGGGGTGGGGGTTACATGCTGCGCCAGCCCCATTTGAGGGGCCCGACAGTTGCTGAGGGGCCCCGAGGCCGCATGCCCATCACACATGCACCCT